ATTAGTGTTATTCTTACACTAAATTCAAAACACAGCACTGTACCAGCTACTAAGCAGAAAATTTAATTGTATCCCAGACAAAACCAGGACACCTTTGTATTCCTTCATCTTCAAAACTACTATTTCCCTGTGTATTATACCAAATTTTGCAATGTGGAGAAGTAGTTGGGTCGGCCATTAGTCAGTTCAGATACCACTGATGGTTTTTTATTTGATTGCCTGGCTTTGGAGTTCAGCAAAATTCATGTGCTTTCTTTTCCTTCAGGAAGTATCTCATAAGCGTCAAATGTTCCTTGGATTGTAAAACCTTAGCATATGCCTTGTGCTGTACAGAAACAGGCTGATGTGTGCTTACATATATCTAACAGAACACCTTTGTAAAACTATTTTGTACTTATTTTCTAGGGAGCGACACCAAATTCAGCCAGTGCCCCAGGGACTGCACCACAGAATCAGGTAATGCTTTTTAATTATTGTAAATAAAAGCACTGATGCTTAAAATTGCTCTCTATGAATGTTTGTTACACGTGGAAACTTGAGGCTATATTTTGCAACTTCCTTTTTGTTCTGTGAGACATTTGTCTTAACATCTAAATCACTGTAAACAAAAAATTCTCCTTTTACTGTATCTGTTTGAGATGAAATGAGAATCTGCGGTTTCTTATATTATACAGAAAACAGCACTAATATCAAATCCTACTTGATTCTTAAATTTGGACTGTGTTTAGTATCAGTTGAAGGATTCTTTTTTTATTTTGATGTTAAAAAATTCCCTTTAACTTCATTTGTTCTAGTAGTAGATAAGGAGAAGAAAGGCAACACAGCGTGCCAGAATATCTCCCTAAAAGCTTCCTTTCAGGAGTTCTCTGTTTTTCATAAGTGTCTTATTTTCCAAAGGATTGTGTGAAGATGTAGCAACAGCTCCCTAAGCTTCACTCATCTTGTGTGCTCAGAGACCTTCTAAATGATTCATGTGTGTTAGAAGTGAGGGTGCTAAAGAGCCAGGATTTGCAGGAGAGCAAATACTGTAGAAGAATAATTTTCCCCTGCACTGCATCTTTTTCTTGAGTACTATCATTGAGAATTGCATATATAATCCACAGTGGAAAAGGTCTTGCTCCCACTCTGGGTTTTCAGGCACAGTATGTGTATGTCAGTTCATATCAAAGCACAACACTGAGTGTATTTGTGTATTTGTTTGAACTCCAGAAGTTTACTTTCTAATGGCAGTGCCTGGAATACTTCCATCAGTTGAAGGAGATTGTTCTGCTGAGGCATTAACTTACCTGGCACCGTTATTAGGATGACTGAAGTTGTGGTGTCCAATTTATTTTTATAATCTACTTGATGACTTGGAGATTCCAATGACAACAAATGACTACTCAGCCTTGTGTCTGGAGAGTGGCTACAAAATTCACATTAGGTGGCAAATCTGTTAAAGACTAAATCTAAATGGGTTTCCAAGTAATAAATCTGAATTTAGGACTGTAGTAAACCCATGTGATTTTCCGTGGGATTTGGTTGCCCAGAGATACTCAGTATAATGAATCCAGAAATTAAGTGGTTCAGTAGTGCTGCTGATGAGCAGAGTATTCACCTTGGCCTCCCACTGCTCTTCCAGGAGGATGAGAGTCTTGCCTGCCTTCTTCCACTGCCATACAGGTGTCTTGGACAGCATTACAGCCAGTACTTGGGCACCTAGGTGTGGACAGTACTGCAGGGTCAACTGTTGACATGTTGAGTTTAAATATGACATCAAAGAAATATATTAGTGTGATTTTTGGGGAAATAAGTATGTCTCCAAATTAATATATCCCTGTAAAAAAACCCAAGGGACTCTGTCTACATATTGATGAGGGTGTGCTGGTGTGCCGTGTTATGAGCAAAACTAAGGATATGCAAGTCTTGCTTCAAATAGTCATGCAGACAGATGCAGAGGAATGGATATCTTTATATTATCTTTGATCTTTTGTTGTTACAGGTGCCTGATAACCCACCAAACTATATCCTTTTCCTTAATAACTTGCCTGAGGAAACAAATGAGATGATGCTATCCATGTTATTCAACCAGTAAGTTTTGAATAGAAATGACTTCTCCTTTGAATTCCTCTGTTACCTGTGTGTGTTTTCTCAGTTGGCAAGCTGACTTTTTAGGAATAAGAATTTCTTCTGAAGGTCTTTCAGTTCTTTGTCTTACTGCCACGGTTACAGATGTTGGATCTGATGACTTGGTTCAGAAAGCAGATCCAATCTTATTCATAGCTGGTTTTGATTGTGTAATTTATCTGCTATCTGCACTGGATGTAAGCTGGTGACTAATATTAAAGACTTTAGGACAGAAGGAGCAATTTTAAAACTAGCTTGGGTTGTTTCTGTATGTGCACAAGACTGATTAAATTGCTTTCATGTAATGATCCTTAATGAGTCCTAGTTCTAAGGATTGGACATGTAAAACCCTTCAATTTAAATCTTTCATTAGTAATTACTATTCTACTAGTAGATGCTTTTGATAAGGTCTTATGGCTATTGTATTATCAAGTTAAAGAAGTATTATTTGCCTCTCACCTTATTTTAAAGGTTTCCTGGATTCAAAGAAGTTCGCTTAGTGCCTGGGCGCCACGACATCGCGTTTGTGGAGTTTGAAAATGAGAATCAAGCGGGAGCTGCCAGAGATGCTCTCCAGGGATTCAAGATCACTCCATCTCATGCCATGAAAATCACTTATGCCAAGAAATAGCCTTTGCAAAGCAGTTCTGTGGATAGTTTTTTACTACAATGATACTTTGACCAGCTAGCATGTTTGCAGTTCTCTGCAGAAAACATAAGACTCATGTGGAATTGTCACAATGACCTAAGATTTCCATGGATCTACTGGATAGTAACTTTTTTGTTGAAATGCTAATTTTTATAAAATAAAATATAAATATGCTGTTTTCAAGACATGTTTGTTCCTCAGATCTGTGTTATTACTGATTAGGTTTGCAAGGTTTTATTCAGTTCCGCTACTTTTAAGGTGACACTCATTTCCCAGAAGTGAGTGCTGAAAAATACCTGTCTTTGCAGGGCAAAAACTGAG